CAGTTCTCCCAGCATCTCTTCCGCTGTTCAAAACACTGCAAAATCCTTTGCTCGAATTGCCATCAGCTGCCCTGTCGTATTTTCCTGAATCTCATCAATGGTCTGAATCTCTTCCCTTTCAAAGGTGATTTTAGTTTTGGGAAAAAGCCAGAAATTGCAAGGCATCAAATCTGGGCTATAGGGGAGCTAACCCACCTAGGTGGTTTGATGTCTTGCAAAAAAGAAATCTGCATGAGACGTGATCCATGAGGAGGGCATTGTCATAATGAAGCTGCCAGTCACCAGTTGCCCATAACAGGTGCTGTCTTTGTTGCATTGCATCTCTCAACAAATGAAGAAGAACGTTGAGGTAGTAGTTGTTTGGCCTGCAGGGACGTACTCATGATGGACAACACCTTCCCAATCAAAAACACAGTTAACATGGTCTTGATCTTCCTGCGAGACAATTGTCCCAATTCCCTCCCCCATTACTCTCCACTGACCTCTGATTCCCCACTTTCCACTTTCAAACTTTCCCCACCCCTGCTGCCTTTGTCCATGGGTCCTTCATTTATACATGTTTCTTAACTTTTGACCTTTCCTCTTCTTCCCCTCGATATTCCCATCTCTCCTCCCCTCTGTCAGTTTGTTCTTTATTTCCATGTCTGATTCTATTTTGCTTGCTTGTTTGTTTTGTTGATTAGGTTCCACTTATAGGTGAGCTCATTTGGTATATGCCATTCACTGCATTGCTTATTTCAGTTAGCATAATGCTCTCCAGTTTTATCCATGTTGTCGTGAAAGGTAACAGTTCCTTCTTTCTCCTGATGCATAGTATTTCATCGTGTAGATGTACCACAGTTTTTTTTTTTAATCCATTCATTTACTAATGGACACTTGGACTGTTTCCAGCACTTAGCTATGGAAAATTGTGTTGCTATGAACATTGGGGTACATAGATTCTTTTGGAATGGTGTTTCCGGATTCTTAGGGTATAATTCCAGCAATGGAACTGCTGGGTCAAAAGGCAGATCCATTTTACTTTTTTGAGGAAATTCCTTAATGTTTTCCATGGTGGCTCCACCAGTCTACATTCCCACCAACAGTGCACTAGTGTTCTTTTTTCTGTACAATCTCACCAGCATTTGTTTGTTGATATGTTTATAATGGCCATTGTGACCGGTGTGAAGACATGAACAGACACTTCTCCAAGGAAGACATACAGAAGGCTCAGAGACATTTGAAAGGATGCTCAGCATCCCTAGCCATCAGAGAGATGCAGATTAAGATAGAGGTATTTTTAATGCTAACTGCTTAACTTTCTAACAACTTTAATTTAAAATCCATATTCTTATACCTACTTCACTTAATAATCTAACACTATATGCTTTTTACAAAGCACTAAAGTATGAAGAAGAGGAAATCCTACTATATAAACATGAAAATACAGAATCCCTATACATAAAAGTAAATATACAATGTGAGAACAGAGCAATTCAGACCTTCCTGTGATTTGATATTGTACTGTGGATTCACTAGACACCTCTTCAAAACACCATGAAAAATGGGAAGGCCTTTCAAAACCAAGTTCTTAATCACTTCTTCAAAGAAGAGAACTCTGTGGACTTTGTCAACTTTCAGCAGACTGGTGAGCCACAATGATTATTCCATTTTTAAGAAGGAGAATTTAACTCCTGACCCTGTATTATGACAAAGAGTAAAAATCAAATGATAATAAGCTCACTTACATTTATAGTATATGACTTTCTTGCATGTTTGCAAAATATTCTACCAATAGAAACTTTTAAAGGTGAGACAGAAACACTATGTGGGAGGAACTATCTCTTTAAATTTTTTAAATCAAATTTTAGCATTAATTGTATTTTTCAAAAATGTTTCAAGTGGAGAAAGTGGAAAACCTAAATTCCAACTTGTTCCAACTGAGTAAGCAAATGAGATGACTAAATCCAGAAAACTCAGGTGTAAAAAGAATCCAACAATAAGATTTAAAAAAAAATAATAAAAGCATCCCTTGCAAAACTTCCATTGCTTCTATTAGCTAAGTGGAGAAAGTGTGGAAGAAAGTTGGCCAGCTACAATCTGTATGAATTTTAAAATGATATGGTGTGAAGATAAACTAAGAATTCTCTGTGCTGAGGAAGTTTATATTTTTGGTAGTTCAAAACATGGTAGCGAAGAGTGGAACCTAAAACATTGTTCAGAATGTCTTCACAGAAATTAAGCAGCTTTGTATGACTGAATCTCCGAAGCATCATGTAGAACAAGGCTTACCAGAAAAGCAAAAAATAGCAAGACATATAAAATCTACAGTTTAAGGTTATACAGGGTAGAATACTTGTCACATTAAATGATATAAAACACAATTAAATAAATAATGACTTTTTATTTTGAACTTAGGAACCACTCACCTCTTTTATTCTTTATACATTGACCTTGGAAGATTGTTTTTGTTTTACTTATTTGATAGAAGAAAAACCAGGGCTTCCTGCAACTCAGTATTTTCCCTGATAAAGTAGTCGCAGTGTGATGTACCACCTTCCAAGCCCAAGTTCAGGGCTCTTACCAATGCACAAAGTTTAATGGATACAATATTTGTGCCCATAATGAGTTAATCTTGAAAAGCCTATCCAGCCTTCTAAAGACTGCAGCTGTGTTTTTCTAATATATTGATACATAATGGCCAGGTATACGAGTGTGTGTATATATAAATATGTATATAGTGTAATTGGAAGTTTCAAATATAAATATGTATATATTTACATACATAAATCTAAGTACATATATTCTAAATCAGAATCTTATATGCTCAGTAATTTAAATGCGTTTTTCTCAGATTTAAACAGCACCTCCCTCTTCATCGGACCTATAGTGAGAACTGGAAGGTTCAGTAACATTTTCCACAATGGTCATTTCCAGGTTTGAAGGAGTTCTTGGTTAAATCATTCATCTCTTCTTAAAACAATTTATGTTTGTAGATCACCCTCTACCCTTTGAGAAAAGGCATTTCCTGCTCTGCTTCTTCTTCTTCTTCAGTGCTATCAGAGAATGTTTGCTTCAAGGTTATGCCAGCTCTCCTTTAGAACAGAGCAATTGCTTAACAAATGGTTTCTGTGAGAGAAAATCTCTGTGGTTCAACATGCGTGTGTTCCTGTCATTATGCACCTTCTGTTTTTGTTCCCTCATAACCATCTTGTTACCTGCATGGAAAAGCAAAGAAACCAAACCTTGGGGAAACAGATATTCAAGCAATTATTTCCTCACTGATTTTCCAGTTTTGGGCTCAAAGACCTTTCCATGAGACAGGGGACTCCAGTTGGTACCCGAGGCAGCTGTATGCAGGAGGCTGGATATAAAATGAATGTCGTGAAGTCCCCTGTAAAATCAGTACATTGTCAAAAGAACCTATCATCACTTCAGTGATGTCTTCCCGCCAGAGAGTAACTATTTCAGGACATTAAGGTAATTTGCATATTTCTAAATTGTTATATTTACCTAATGAGTGTATAACTACTTATCTACGTGACTCCACTAGACTGAGAGTTTTGACAGAATAGGGACTGAGTCTATTCATCAAAGTCATGCTATGTGTTTTGTGCTTTCTACAAGTGACTATTAGATGAATGGATGAATTATACGTTGTAGTGTGGTATTTCAAAATCCAAAGGGTATTGAAATAATGTCATGGATTCACACGAAGCAAGCCATGCTCACAAAAAAGGTGTCATACATTAGGAATATTTTAGACTCATGAGAGAAATAAAAAGCTACCTCTCTACAGAGTGTTGACCATGAATTTCCTTACAAAGTTCCTCATCTTAGAAGGAAGGAGGCACTTATTTATGAAATCAACAAGCATGTTTTGAGCATTTACCAGGAGAATAGTAAACTAAAGACCAACTCAGTTCTTAATACTTAGATCTAGACCAGAGACAAACATGTGCATAGCTATTGTCACTTTAAAAGAGAATAATATGAATACTATACTGTCAGAAAACCATGAATGAAAAAAAGGCTAAAAGGTCATGTATGTCATCTTTTTACAGGGAAGTTGGCATTATGACCAATCGGATGTGGCAATGAGGATTAGACAGGAAGGGGGCATTTCAGAAAAGAGTCAGTAGGATTTGGAGAATGACTGGGTTGGAGAATTCTAAAGATGGGTTCAAAATACATGGTTCAATAGAAACAATGCCTGCTGGAGCGTGGTTAATAGGGTAATAATATGGGTGTAATAATTTCTAGTTTTAATTTGAATATTTCACCTAAAATGTCATGTGGTGTGCTTGAATTTGATACTGTTATATTACCAAATTACATGCTTATGATTTTGTAATAAAATATTTTGTAATAAAAAAAGAGGCTTTATTTGTGTTGCATCCTGTATATAGCCAAGAGGGAACTTCTGAACACTTTCCTGAAGATACAGAGTACAGGAGGAATTTCCCAGGACATTATTCCTGGACAAATTCAATATCTGGGGTGCAGGGATGGGAGTGAAGGGTGTTTGCAAATTGAACTAGATGAATATTTGGCTCATTTAAAAATTCTAAATTCAAGCAGGACTTAGTGATTTATCTCCCAAGGAAAAAGTTTGAAAAAAGGATGCTTATCTTTACAGTGGAGAGAAGCCTTACACACAATAGCTTGCAGAGGTCTTCAGTCAGTGGCCCATGGGCTGCATGTGCCCCAACACAAAATCCTAAATTTACTTCAAATCTTTTTTTGTGCTCATCAGTTTTCATTAGTGTTTGTGTATTTCATGTGTGGGCCGAGACAACTCTCCTTCTTCCAGTGTGGCCCAGAGATGCCAAAAGGCTGGACACCCCTGGAGAGTGATAATGTTATCATCAATGATGTCATGCTGATACCACATACCACCTGATATAATGTGATAAGAACACAGTTCACCTCTGTAACCAAACACAGGTTCAGCTGCCTTCCGCTAAGAAAGCCAATACTCCAAAGGCAGGTGCTGATGTAAAAGAAAGTGATTTATTTTCAGTTGCTGGACATCAGGAGGATGGGAGACTCATGTCTCAAAGCCCACTACCTCAACTCAGTGGAGGCAAAGGTTCTTACAAAGAGGGAGAGGAGAACGAAGCAAAGAGATCAAGGGACGAGGTTGAAAAGTTCTCTACGTGCTGACTAGCAAGGACCATTCTGGGAAGGCAAGTGATGGGCCGGTGTGCATCATCCTGGGTTAGTCATCCTGGAGTCACAGCATCCTGGCTCCTTGGCCAAAGATCAGCAAATCTCCTTCCTGGAGCTTGGACGCCTGAAGGTTGGAGTCTGTATCTTTTGAAGTTAATCCCTGGGATTATTGTCTGAACATGCTGTTCATCTATAAACTACATATTAGTCAGAGTCAGCACCTACGGAAACAAGGCAAAAGAATGGTGGGGTGGGTGATAGTTTCTCACCGTTACAATTTTCCACTGTTACGCCTCCATGGTCTTCTTTCCCAAAACCCATGACTAGAGTTTAATTATGAGAAACCATCAGCCAAAACCAATCTCAGAGAATAAATTCCTGACCATTGCCCTTCCAAACTTTCAAGTCACAAAAAGCAAGACTGAGGAACTGTCACGGAGCACAGGTGATACGGTAACTAAAGACAATGCGGTATTCTAGATGGGGGTCCAGAACAGGAAAAGGACATTAGTAAAACAAAAAAGACACAACTGATGAAATGGGAATGAACTGTGGAGTTTAGTTAATAGCAATGTGGCGGTGTTGATTTCTTCTTTTTGATAGATGTTCCAAGGTAACATAAGACAATAATGTTAGGGATAACTGAGCATGTTTAGGTCAATGTAATAATTTCCCTCTGTTTTGAAGGCTGGGGCTGTGTGATGCAATGATAACATCATGAGCAATAACAACTCAAATTTCTGAAGCAACTTTGCATACACTAACTCATAATGTGACAATATTATGAAGCTGGTCAAACAGGTATTTTTATGTCCATTATACAAATGAATAAACAGTGACTCAAAACAAAACATATCCAAGATCAGATTTTCAGCACCTTGGGCTTAAACAACGATTTTGTGAATCAAGGAAACTTGTGTTATTTTTACTTTCACTAAATAGTAGAAAGACAGACCAATGTATGTGTGTACACAGAGAGGGGTGGGAGAAGATTTGAGATGGCAGTTGAATTTCAACTAACCTGAAATGTCTGTTGAGCCTTAAAGACCAAAGGATAATTAATGAGTTGAATTTCTGGTTTTTGAAGCTCACAGATTTAGTTTTTTTTCTTTACTTCCCTACCTTTGTGTAGGAGTGAAAGTTTCCTTAATAAAAATAAAGTAACCTAAGCGTTACAGTTTTGTGTGTCTGCAAAGTCATTACACTCTGGAGCCCCCCAAAATGCGTTACCTATTTGCCTCTTCCTGCCCCCACATCACCCATTTCTAAAGCGGACTCACAGACTAGGTCCACGAGAAATTTGTTACTTCAATTCTGTTCATAAATCGGGGGTAATATTTTCCATACTCAATTCTCCTTGTCCTGATTGCAACGATGGCATCAATAATTTTCATTAGGAACCGTATCCGCATGACATTGTTTCCTTACAATTTGGGAACAACGATAATAAAAGGCAAAGTTTGTACATTTGCCTTTTGTACATCCTCTCTTTCCTCTTTCCACTTTTATTCATTTTCCAGGAGCATAAATCAGAAAGTTAAACCTGTACGAGTTCTGTTTTGCCTTTAAACAAAAGTGCATTCTTAAGGATGAAATAATTATACTCTTATCTCAGATCAAGGTATCAAAGAAAGAGCCTCGTGTGGATACTTATGTAACTTACACACACACGAAGATGAACGTTTAAAAACAGACGGATCTGAGCGTTGATTCTAAAATGTGGTCTTCCGAGTTGATTCTGCAGCCCGAGGAGCTATGCCTATGCTTTGCTGCCCCCTTGGCAAACTAGAAGGATTTACAACGGAACTCTGCACCCGGCCGGCTGGAAACCGCGCTCCTTCCCACTGCCTCTGTGGGCTGGTCTGGCTCGGAGGCCTTTGAAATGGCTATTACAGACTGCCACTGGCTTAGGTATGTTGCAGAGAAATTAAAGCCTCTTCCCGTGGAGAAACGGATTTTTCTCTTTTTAAAATAATTCGTTTTCCGCAAGATCCACGTGTTAGACTCTGAGTTATTTTTAAGGGCTCGGCATTTCTTTCCTACTTTCTTTAGTCGGGAGGGGAGTTGGAGACAGAAGGAATCGGTCGAGGACGTCTGCGTTTGCGCTCTGGGCGGCGTTCTGGCTCCTTTGGGTGCGACGCTGACAGCGGGGGCGCTGGACCGTCCGTTTTCTGCGGTCTAAGCTTCCCTTCCGCGCCCGGGAGATGCCTGGTCTCCAACTCCGGTTAACTGGCTGGGAGTCCAGAACACTTAGTTGAAGCTGTTCACAAAATGCAGAGCATCTAGGTGTCGAAGGCAGAGGCTCCTGTTGTCTCTTTTCCCTTTTTTCTCTCAAATCACTTCCGAAGGAGCTAAGGGAATAAAGACGATCAACACCTAAGCTCTTAAAGCTGCCCCGCTGCTTTCGATGTTGGGGCTGAGATCTATCTTCTGCACCGTCATTCCCGTTGCGTCCCCTACATCTTGCCGTTCTAAGGCGCGGTCCCGCTTTCTCTGCCCCTCCAACCTTTGCAGCTTCCCAGTCGCAGCTCAAAGCCCCTCAAGTCCGACTCCTCCCCCACTTTCCGGCGTCTAAGTCTAATCTGAACCTGTGGTCGTTCAGCTTAGGCGGACACTGGGTAGGAGGCAGCTTTCTTGCTGTCTCATTTAAATTTGGCGTGGGTGGGTGGGTTCCTTACACAATTCTGTAGCGCACGCAAAACAGTTAAAAGCTAGGATCAGAGAGATCGGAGAGTTCCACATCTTCCAAGCGCCGCTAGGAAAGGAAATAATACGGGGACGGCGTGGGTGGGTAGGGGGCTGACAGAAAGAAATAGAACCCAACTTCCCTGGCAACTTCGATAAATCTGGTAACTGGAGGCAAAAAAAAAAAAAGATTCCGAGGGCTGAGTCTGGTCCGGATGAAACGCTAGGGCTCCTTCCAATACCAGAGTCTGGTGCTGGAAGATTGCCACTGGCGTCTTGCCATCCGAGTGGCCCCAGACAGCAACACACCCACTGGAAACGCACGTGAACAAAGCTCTGGCCCCGGGAACCGCGGCCTGCGGTTTCCCAGTCGATTCCAGCTCCTCCGGGGACTGTAGGGCGCACAGAGGGTTAAATTAGTTCCCCCGCCCCGTAGGAGGGAGGGGACGGGGAGGGGGGAAAGCAGCCTGGTGTCTCAGGCTGGGTACCTCGTAGTTAGTTGTACGTTCGAAACCTGTCGCCCTCACTTCCGAGTTCGGCGTCTTCCATTGCCACCACAGAGGCAGGATCGCTCCGAGATACCAGCCGTGGCGGAAATCTCCACGCCGAGGCGTTCAGCTGCCACTGCGCGGGTGCGTCTCTGGCCCTTGGTCCCGCGTGTCCAGCAGCGGCCAGGCAGCAGCTCTGCTCCCGCCCCCGTGTCCACCCAGCCCGGGACCAGGTCGGCAGTTCTCAACGATGGGTAGGAGAGACCTTGGCGGCGACCCCTAAAACAATACCATGCCCCGGGAGCCCCGCTACTGCCGCGCCAGCTTCTTCCCTTTCCACCTTCCCGACCCTGTCGGATTCGGATGAGCCCACAGCAGGGAGACGCGGACGCCAGGTAAAGAGGCTTGAGATGGAGTTTCCAGTAGCCACAGAGCTGCCATTACTCGGACACCACGCGGTCTCTGGGGGTACAGGGGGAGATTTTTTTTTTTTTTTAACCAGCGGGGCTGGTCATCGGGAGAGTGGGTGGGATGTTTCAGTCTTTATTTTTTCATCCAGAGAGAAAACAGGTTGCTTAATTCATCCCCGAATGTAAGGAGGTCTATTTTCAGGTCGAATCCATCTCTTTCAAGGAGTTGCGTTAACTACGCTCTGAGTCAAAACGCAAAATTTTTAGTCTGCTGGAGCACCGAACTAAACTGGGGTTTCTAAAGCCACTAAAGTAGCCAGAATCAGCCTCTCCCTTACCCAGAATGACTCTGTTAACTTCTAGGAGTAACATTTCCCCTACTACCCCACCCTGGCGCTCACCCCATCTGCTGTTAATGTCACCAGCGTCATTATTCAGAGCTGGCGTCTAAAGCCACCAGCACGCCCCCTGCCCGAAATCCTGGATTTGTTAGTTGGCTAAGAGGTGCGGGGTGGGGATGGAGGTGGGGGATGCTAGTTCCTTTTCCTTCGAATTGGGGAGGGGGTTCCTTTCCCCAAAACCAAGTCTTTCTCCAGCTCTGCTGGCCTTCAGGGGCTGCGCACTAAGCTAGAACCAGCGCAACCTTATCGCGCGTAAACCGACCAGGTCAATGATGGCGCTGGGGGCTTACCAGCCTGAACCTAATTGCTTTCTCCCGGCCTCGCGTGTGGGATGCGGGGAGCGGGCGGTGACACGTCCAGACGCTGAGTGCAGGGGCGAGATGAGGTTGATGGGGGTGGGAGCAGAGCAGTGCCACCTGGTATCAAGTACCCTCAAAAGCTTGCAGTCGACTGGACTGATCATCCCACCGCTGTGCCGTGCCCCCCGCCCCACCGGGCCAGTCGCTTTTCTTTTGTAACCCGTCGTGAGATCAAGGTTGCCAGTTGAAGTCAGGGCACTAACCAGGGAAAGGAAATGTCGGGGAAGAGAGCGACTGGGGCAGACTGGATCCCCACTGATGCCGGGAAACTTCTGAAGCGCGTGGGGTTCCGGCCCGCAGCAGATGCGGCTGGAGGCGGAGGCCACTGCTGGTGTGGTAGCTGGCGCTTCGCTCCTGTTACCCCCTTAGCAGGATGGCACTCACTGTTTGCTCTAGTCCAATTAACTCCCTCAGCCATCCCCCCTTGTCCTCAGGGCATTAGTCAGACTTTGAGTTTGGGCAGAAGAGCGGCTACGTATAAGACAATCAAAGCGTTTTTCTAGCCACCTTTGCGTAGTGTAACAGGAACAGCAACTCCCGGGCACGTACCCGGGTCTTGTGTGCATTTGTGCCAGCTTGCGTCTCTGGCGTGCGTCTGGGTGGATCCATACGTGGCTTGTGCTTGAGAGGCAAATCGGGCGTTTTTCCAAGTCGTCTTAATACAATTTAGGCGCTCAAATACGTGAAGGCGGTAGACCCTACAGGGATGCAAAGAAAATAAAAACAATTGGGAAAGCGATGCCAAGTGACTGAGGCTGTGAACTGGGGACGGGGAAACCATCCTGAGCAGGTCGTGGCCACTGCCCCCGCCTAACTCTTCTGTCGCTCTAATCGATCCTCTCCCTAGAGGGTTGGTCCTGAGCCAATTTCAAGTTCCTGGGTGTGCTTTTGGCCAGGCACCCCCGACGGCGCGCGTCTGAGCGCAGCTCAGCGGTTGGCGCGGCTCATTCTCCCTCGTCTGTTCAGATTCGGTCTCTCTACGGACTTGTTAGAACACGACAGTAACTTACTGGCGGCAGGAGCAGCGGCAATGAAATAAGACGAGAAAACCAGAACTCCCTACCCCCCCCCCCCAAGAATGAAGACGTGCACCTGGTTGCTTTACATTACTCTTTCACCTTTACAAAGAGATGGCGAGTGAAACGTTGCCTGTTTACAAGTCAGGTTTCTGTAGCTGTCGAGCCTGTTTCCTAAATCTTTGAAGTTGAATCTATGGGGAAAGTGAGCAACGGTCTTTCCAGCGGCCTTGGTGAAAGGACAAAATGGGGCGTTTAAAATAACCATATTGAGTGTTTTGTTATATTCCCAATTAAAGCTGTTTACGAAGGTCCGGGGTCAGGGAACTAGCGATGGGGTGGGGGTGGGGGGCGATCACCAAGACTGCCTGCATTTGACATAACGCCATCTTGGTTGAGAGACTTGTAATATTTTTACCCTCTAATCTCATGTTTCCATCATTTCTCAATGTCTAAGTAATAGATCCCCTGGCTTGGAAGTACAACATCAAGTGGGCAGAGAGGAAATTGGCTTTCAACTTTCGGATGGTGGCGTTATCCCGGGAGTTGGGGAGACAGGTGGGGTGGTGCCGGGTCGAGGGAGAGGAGGCGGCGTGCGGGGTCAGAGCGGCACACCCGGCGTTAGCCCCGGTGTTCTGCAACTCGCTTCAGCGAGGACAGGGTTAAGAGACTTTGCCTCTTGGAAAGCTTTGGGTTGCGGCCGCGCCTCCCAAGCATTCTTTAAACCAGAAATGTGGGAGGGACTCGAAGAGGGCGGGAGTGAAGGAGGGGGGAGAAAGAGGGCTCGAGTTGGGGAGCGCGCCAGAGCGCGAGGGACTGGAGAGAGGAGGAGCGCAGGAGCGGCGGAGGCGATCCCGCGAATTCATTACTGTAAACATCTCCCGGGGGCGTCAGGAGGGGTGGGGGTGGGGTGGGGGCCGCGGCGCCTACAAAGCCCGGCCGCGTCGGATCCAGGCAGCAGTGAGGTCGGAGCAGCCTCCGGACCCACGCGGGACCGACGCAGCACGGAGAGCGAGCCCCGCGCAGCGCCCGGCGCCGCGCTCCGCGCGGTCGGCACCGGGGCATCCGAGGCGCACTCACCCGGTTATCCACAGCTCTCTCGGGGTCCTCCGTCTCCGAGGAGCCCCGGCACTGGGGCCGCTTCCCATCGCCTTCCACGCTCGTCCTCCTTCTGTTGGGACTGCTTGGCTCCGCCGAGGCGGAGAGGGGGAGGCAGAGGAGCAGAAGGGGCGGGGGCCGCGGCGGCCGGAGCCAGGAGAAAGTGGCATGCCCCAGCCCTGGAGGCGGAGGTGGCGGAGGACTGGGGAGGACGATGCCGCGGCTCCGTAAGGGAGAAAGGCAAGAGCGAGCGAGGCGAGTGGGGCGCCCGGGCGCCAGCCGGCTGCGGGCAGGCTCGCGCCGCTCTGAGGCTCCAGCCTCCGCATCCCCGCGCCCCGACGCTGCAGGCGACAGGGCTGGGCTCCGGCAGCCGCCGCCGTCGCCGCTGCCGCCACCGGGAGGACCGAACAAAAGTTTGGAGCTGAGGGAGGACGCAGCGCTGAGCGGGATTAACAACGGGGCTGGAAGGATATCTCGAGAACCTTGGCAGGTAACCGGCACCTTCACCCCTCTCTCTCCATGCCTCTCTGCTGGGCTCCTGCTGCCTCCCAGCGCCTGTCTGGCCCCTCCAGATCTGGCTGAAAGTAAGAGGGAGGCGAAGTTCTCGGGGATGGGCACCCAGCGCCGGGAGGTCCACAGTCAGGTTAGAGGGGCCGGCGGCGCATCTCGGCACCCGGCGGGCAGCTGTGCAGCGAGGCGAGTCTCCCCTGGGAATGGATGAGAACGCTCGGCCCCAGCTGCTGTTTGATCTCGTAGCGCTCGGGGAATTTAGAATGTGGGTTGAGGGGCTCTTAGTATTCTTAAATCCAGAGAAATAATGGGCGAATTTCACTGACTTCCACCCAGCTCCTCTCCTATTTAGCATATTTAAAGAACGAGGTGAACCCATCCCCAGTCACCCACCGAATTTAGCTGGTGCAAGGAAAGCAAATGGGGGCGGGAGCGGGGAGGTGTATGTGAAAATTTCAAGGAAAGGAGAAGAATTTTCCTTTCCCTTTTTGATATCCCCGGGGCCCTCCCTCCTTCCATTCACCGTCTGGCGTCATAAAATAGGAACTTTAGAAGTCACATTTTGATTGAAGGGTGATATGAAACACACTAACCATTGGTGACGAGAATTTGCAGTGCGTATGTGTGTTGGGGGGGTTGTTAAGGGAGGTGCGGAGGGGTTGGTTTTTGCTGGGCGGCCTGATTGATGCACAGTAGTACGGGGTGGGGGCGGTGAGTGGTCCAGTTTGTATACTCAGGAGGGGGCAGTGGAGAGAAAACACTCAACGTTTCCAGAACAGCAGCCTTACTCGGGCTAAGAAAATAGCTTCCGCCTTTCGCTCAGAGACAGAAAAGATTCCCGCCCCAGTTACCCCAATATCCTCACTCCCGCAGTGGAGTTTTGAGTTTCCAAGGGGCTCAACCGTTGCTGCTGCTATCATTTTTATTAGGATCATTATTAATTCACCTGGAAACTCATCGTGCCTTCTCTTGTAAGTGGAAATCAGTCTCTAAGAGCTTTTGATTAATTTTAGTGGAGGGACTCTTGTAAAGCTTACAGTAAGCTAATCAAGTGCAAGGCACAAATCCGTGTAAATGCTCGCCCAGGAGTGTAAGGTGCTGATTAGATTTCTTTCCATGCTGCATTTGCTATGCAAAGCCTCTTCTAAATGGGATCTATTGCTCCCCACTCCGCCCGGAGGTTCCTTCATCACACAGGGCTTTAGGGAGCTTTGGGGCATGCCCACTCCTCCTGGGGCTTCCTGCTGAATTGATTATGTCTAACTTCTCCCAGCCCAAAGCTAGTATGAAGACTAGCTTCCACACCGGGAAGATATTGTCTGTGGACTTACACAGAATGACCTTATTAAAGCGCCAGTGAAAGGATCCCCCAAACGTTTTGAGGCAAATAAAACGCAGCTTGGCCTCTGTCCAGGGATGTATTTGGTGGTTGCATTATGAATGTAACATTTGAGGTCCCTATCTGAAGTGTTGGGACTGGACTTTTTTTTTTAAATCACTAGGCAACATTAGTCAGATCCATAAGATTGACAGGCCACCATATTAGAAGAGAATAAATCCTTTGGGTAATACACACACAGGGAAAAGTTGTTTATGTCCCCACAATCTTACTGCTCCCCAAAATCCTTTTTTCTTCCTTTCCTGAAAAGCCTCCAACAGGATAGAGTTAAACCATCTGAGGATCTCTAATACTCAAGGTGGACAGGGCAACACCATCCTGTCACATTGAGTTGCAAATAACTGTGACTGGAGAAGGTGGGAGATGAGTTTTCTAACACTATTCCACGTCTCTGCCAGTGGGTATAAGACACTGTACAAAGAAGTGGGCTAGCTGTACTGGAGCCGAACCTATAACAAACCTCGCATGGAAAGAATGCTGGGTTGTTTTTTTTTTTTTCTTTTTTAATGCACCTCTTAACAGCAGCTTTAGAAATTTCAGGGGCCGCTTTTGATAGAAGAAAGCAGATTCCCAAATGACACCATTCTGGGCACCTTGGAGTCCCCAAGATGGGCCTGGGTTTTCCTGTGTGCTACGTTTCAAATGATGTGATCATATCCGAGTTTGACTTTGACCTGCTGGATCTAATTTGAAGCTCCTCTGTTGCCTCTTCATTCATATTCCGGCCTGCTGGAGAGTTTGATTTAGGGTTTAGGCATATCTCCCTCAGGCAACCCCTGTATCTTTCCAGTTTGAAGCTGTGGTTTCAAAAAAGGCTCAAGTACATGCAAGTCCAGAAGCCTTAAACTGTAGGGACTCAGCATGAACGTGTGGTCTAGTTTGAGTCGTCAGCTTTTGCATTCTACAAGGAAGAATTTCTGCTTCTAAGATCAGCAGGGTCTGAAGTTAAAGAACAGCAAGGGTGCCAGTGGTTCTGCTTTCTGGGTAGCAGATTCCAAAAAGGTCAAGGTGATGCCATTTTATTTCTATCCAGGTCAGACCTTCCTGGATAATCATCTTTTGGTACCTTTTCTCTAATTTCAACCCAAGTTCATTTTTCACTAGATTACTTTAATAACTTTGTGGTTGCTGCCACGGTGATTCAACTTCAGTCCATTAGTGACCTCTGTCTGCGAGAAACGAATATTCATTGTTTCTCTCTCTTCTCACCAGAGCCTACAGAGTATGTGAGGGAAGAAAAGAAACAGCTCTGTAGTTCTTCCTGGAGATTTAGATTTTCAAACTTGATTTTTCTCATACAGAGTTCAGTGTGGGTGCTGATACTTAACAACAGTAATAAAAATCTTTCATACAGGCTAACAGGCTTGTAAACGGTTCCTCCATACAGCATGGGCAACAGGATCAGCATAAATAAAACACCAGAGCTCTCCGCTGTCAATAAAAGGGGTGTACAGTCAGGTAGACTAATGTTTGGAGACTCACAAAGCTGCGAGATGTCAGTGAAATTTTATTGCCCCCAAGTGCTTACATAACAAGGGAAACTTGATTCAAGCCCAGAATGTGTACGAGTACGTGGCAACTGGACTTCATAGTAGCAGCATGTGTATGCTTTTCAATTCAGCTGTGAACTTATGGTCCAGAGCAAGGGTGAGGCAGCGTGTGAGCAGGCTGTGTCTGGAAACCGATGGTCTTTTAAGGAGACTTTTACCATCTGATTCCTAATCCAGCTTTGTCTTCTCAGGGTTTTCAAATCAAAATGTCAATTCCAGTTGATTATTCTAAATGGTAATTGAAGACCAAGTTTGCTGAATTTCTTAGGTGGGCAAATGCCATTGTCAGACATTTTCCAGATGGTTTTTGGTGTAGTGGTATTTGGGGATATGGGATTTTTTGGAAGGTTTTCTTTCTTTTCCCTTGGACAGGTTTTGTGCAGAAGACATTTTTAAAGCCCGATTATTATTATCATTAAACAACTATTATAATACCCCAGCCAACTTTCTTATTTTTTTCTCCACCCTCCAAATCACTTTGCTTTTTTAAAAAATATGTTTCTCTTCTAAAAACCACATGTTGGGGATTGGAGTAAGACTATCAGTATTTTTTTTTGTTTTTAGTATTTTCAGCAATGTGACCTCTAGTTAAGTATCTGTTTATAGTATAACACACACACACATACATATACATTAAGAGCCGTTTTAAGACAGAGATTCTTTTCAAGGTTTTAAAATATGTTCCTTTTAAAGAACTATGACACAAATATTATAATAAAAATATCCTGTGTTTCGATGAATACAGAGACTTATTTCAGTCAGTCGCATGGAACAGTAAAACACTGTATTAGCAAAATAATCAGTAGTATTTTCAGTACATGGTCAAAATCTGTTAGAACCTTCATGGGTCTTTTTTTTTTCCCTTGGCGAATTTCGCATCCACTAGTCTTTTTGGTTTTCTTTGATTTCTTCGACTGTGGCTCTTTGAAGTGATTCAAAATTAAACAGTAGCTACTTCTTTAGGGAAATTCATCATGTTATGTTCAGGATTCCAGAAGAGTTAATGATGCAGAAAAAGTCCTGTAAAACATCTTTCTAAAAGAAGTCCTTCTCTTGCAGGCTTCTCACTTACTGGCCTCCTGTACCATTTGCAGTGAATTGGAACTCTGTTATTTATTTATTTTTCAAATACCACCTCTAACTTAATTTAACGTGGGATGTATTTCTGCAGAAGCATGGGGTACCGTGTGTCCTGAGTCGCCTGAACAAAGCAGTGTCATTTTTATGGATCTGGAATAAGGGAAGGTCAAAGAAAATAGCCTTGCATAGTTTGGCAAGTCAAAGAGCCACATTCATGATTCTCAAACACTGGCCAGTTATTCTTCTGATAATGGCACACACATTTTTTTCTGGCAGTTTAGTAGTTAAAGATCTGAGCCATTTTTTGAAGTACTCACAAAATAAATACCTGGTGTTCCTACCCATTAGATGTTCATTAGAACTTAGCTGTTTCTCTCACCTTCTTCCCTGGTTGCTTTTAAGAGAATATGCAAGAAACTTGGCAAAAGGTCCCCTTTCCCCTCAGGTCACAGAGCATGTGTTATATTTCAGTTGTTTTTATTACAGCTTTTGAGATACAGATAAAAGAATTTTCTATCTCAACCTTTTAAGAACCTTAGGGCTTTTGGATTTAAACCCACTGAAAAACATCAGGTACCAGAGTTCATAGATGCTATTAGGTCTCAGAACACTGAAACCTGTTTCAGCAGTGGCTCTTAAAATTGGTTCACAAATTTATTGTCCGTGGAGGTCAGCAGAGGTCATGTGGCTGAATGGAAAGCATTAGACTCACATCAGTCCCAAAATAGGTCCACGTGTTGGTGTCATTCTTGGCCCCAGCTGCCTGTGGGCATCACTTTTGTGAAATCCAGTGTCAAAATAGCCTCTGTGCTGGTTTCCTGGCCCCCTCTACTCCAGACTTGGGACGTTATTTTGAAGAAGGGACTAATGCAGGAAATAGTAATATTCTTCGTAGGTACAAGATAAAGAGGAGGCAAATGTTAGGGGAGTAGATTGGCTAAGCCTTTGCCATAGAGGTTCCAGGGCATTTTGCCTAGGCCCTGAGGAATAAAATTGATTTTAAAACATGTTCATGCCTGGTATTTACATAGCTCCTCACTTGTGTTTTCTAGTTCTCACAACCAGGATTTCATTTATTCATCTCAGCTGCCTCTGTGAATTGGTATGAGGAAGTCCTACTTGCCTAGACTGGCACTGGGTACCTGGAACCAGGAGGAGGTTGAAGCCCACCTGAGGCTACACAGAGTTCTCCTTGAAACCATTTGACATTATATGAAATGACAGACATTACACTTTCTTGCATAGATATGAATTCTCCAGATACAGTTTAGAAGTTCTTCTTTTAAAGCCACCCAAAATGGTCAGAGTTGTATTTTATTAAAAGAGTAAAAAATATGACAACCATACAAATATTTAGACTTAAAAAATAGAATTTCGCTCTCTTTCCAACATTATATAAGTTTGCCTATTCTGGGTAAGGATAATTTTATGATACAGGCATTGTGATTTGGGGTCTTACTTGTGTGGAATGAGCAATGGGGAAGTTGTTTGGGGGGACGCAAGGATGCATTTCTAAAAATAAAAATAAAAAACCCCTGCATTCTCACACCAGCACACTCCTTTCTGCATTTATGACCTTGGACAAATTACTCAATCTCTTGGGACTTAATTTCCTCTCTGCGGAGTTCAACAGGGTTGTTCCAGGGTCAGCTAAGATTAATGTGTGTGAAAATACCTTGATAACAGCACAGTTTTATATTCCCATAAAGAGGCATTATTCAGATTGATACCATTTGTCACTTTGTGACTGTCATGTGCTAGGATAGTTCCAGGTTTCAGATAAATAAAAAGGTGACAAGAGAGAGCTTGCTCTCCTGGAGTGCTCTGTTCTCCAGGAGCTTTTTGAGGGGGGTGCTATGGGACATTTCCGAACCAGTAACATGTCTGGTGG